CATCTCCTACAGCTAACTGTAGTGTCCTTGATCACCGTACTGGGCTATAGTTCTATAGGTTTTTTACAGGAGGAATTTTATCTTTTGTTTTATTAATACAACCTCAATATGATCACCTGTCAGCATTATGCTTTGAACATCAGATTGTTTTGTTGTATTGGGAAAGATGACAGTTTGCTACCTAAAGGTTTTTTGTGGTTGATTTTCCCCTAAGAGTTTAAGCAAAAATTCATATTGAACAGAACCCTCCTTGATATCGAATATAAAGCATCTGTATTTAAATGAGTGTTTTTACTGTGAATTCCTAAAATGTAGTCACTTCTCTTTTGTTAGTCATATTGCCCTGCTCTTCAGTTGATGTTTTATTATTTTCTATGCATTGTGCTGTAATTCCTATTTCAAGAGGTTGTGTTCCCAGCTTCAGTAACGCTATACCACGCAGTTATAGTCAGTTGTGATGTTGTGATACTTCTTTGAACAAAATAAAATAAATACAATCACGGTAGTTTCAAAATAGCATATCCCAGCGCACACAAGAACGCACCAAAAACAGTTACTGTACATCATGCACATTTATTTTTTTACTAATACTGTATTACCTCTGACGCTGACTCATACTGTAGTTCTATTTTAACCCACATAACGCTACTGAAGTTTTTGTTATGGGACGCTTGGATACATTTTCACAGGACAGTGGTTGTTCTCTCTTTGTTAATACCTGCACTTAAAACCCAGAAATCCAAACCCCGCGGTTGTACTGTTATAATATAGCACCAGTTTCATGATGTCTAAAACAATGTTCAGTTAGGACAGCAACAGCATCTTGTATTATGTACTCACGCAGCAAAGACCAACAAAAGGTCATCTTCACAAAGCACAGTTTTGAAACCTAGAGCAGTGAATTCAAACTAAGGTGAAAGTGAAAGGCAGTGAAACTGTTTTATTTACATAAGTCATCAATACTTATTATAAATAACAAACCAGCTGGTGTACGGAGAAAAATCAGTAGAAAATGTTGTATACAAGGCAAAATATTGGAATTAAACCGAAATAATAATAAGCCAATATTCTGCTTGACCATAAAATAACAAGCGTCTGTGCTTTTCTTGATCACAGTGGAAACGATATTTCAGTGTTGGGGGTGTATTTTTGCTGCTTAAAAATGCAGTCTGAAGGGTAGTCTCCCGCATATTCATCTTTATTCGGTGAAAACCAATGACATTGCACCGAAACTATTATATTTCTCTTTCATGTTTTATATTTTCACATTACCAAAACTAAAACCATATTTCAGTACTGAATGCACAATATTTAGAAAATGTCAATAATGTTTACATCTACAGTCAATAATGTTATTTATTTAACATTTAACACTTTAAATAACATCTACAGTCAATAATGTTATTTAAAGAGGGAAAATAAAAGGGATAAAAAAATCAAGGGATGGAGCACATTTGTAAACTGAACCTAATGTGAATGGAATTGTCGAAAGACATTTGCAGTTATAACCCAGCACTATGGAATCTGAGACTCGAAACCTTGAGCTACCGAAGAAAACGCACAGATTCGCCGTATAAAAGCTGCTCTCTTTATATATAATTTTTGGTTTCATGTCTAAATACGTGCCCTACATTATATATTGCAGACACGACTTAGTGCAATAGGAAATTAGAAATATATTTATAAACCCAAGCAACCAAAACAAGCAAGGAGTCAAAATGGGTCTCCTCGGTGTTCCATCAAAACAGAACACTTACTGCATTCCCACGTCCTGCAGGAATGCACAACATTGCATCCTCTGCGATTCCAAGGATAAACAACAGGAAGACTTACCTGGGTGGCTTTGTGGAATTGCTTCTTCAGTCCTGCCACAGACATATTTTCAGATGTAGCGGTTTGCTGTTCTTTGTTTTCTGATTTCTACTCTTGCTCTTGTCGCAGAGTGTTCAAGATGCTCAGTTCAGACCTTGCTGAAGCGCTCAATTCCTCGGGATCTCCAGACTCGGGGACTGACTAATGCTATGATCAGGTTATTGAATGTCACTCTTAATGTGACCTGCCAGTGACGTCACCTTGCTCCATAACCAACCTCTTAAAGGCACAGCGGAAACAGCAAATACAAACATAACTAAAAATACTACGGCAATTACCTTAGACAATACACGATATGTGCTTAAGCAAAGGCACAAAAGAAGCTTGACACCGTTATGTATTACATAACCATCGAATGATATGAAGAGCACCAGAAGAAAAGAAAATTAATAACGCGTGTGTAAAAAAATCATATAAAACGAATGTAATTTCTGAACGAGACCTATTCAAGGTGTCCTCTTTGAAATAAAAATATATCTATCTCCCTCCTTTAATAACTTCTTCCAAATAAGAAGTTAATAATGTTTATAAACGAAAAGAGGTTATTCTACCCATCTAATTCTGGATTTTCAGTCCCCTGGTTTTCATTACTCCAGACTCTTATTGGCTCTTAATAACTCAATGTATTGCAATCGAGTGTTAAATTATTTATCTGTATTACCACTTTTACATGCCTTTACTCACTAATGATTAGAAGTAACCTATTAACCCGATAGCATGCAACCCTCCAGAACCATGTTACATTAGAATTAATATTTAGTATAGGGTTAGTATAGGTGTGAATATTTTAATATGTGCCAGTGCAGCCTGTATCTCTGGGAACCACTGTCCCATTTATAATAATAATTGCTTACACTTATATAGTGCTTTTCTGGACATTCCACTCCAAGCGCTTTACAGGTAATGGGGACTCCCCTCCACCACCACCAATGTGCAGCATCCACCTGGATGATGTGACTGCAGCCATAGTGCACCAGAACGCTCACCACACATCAGCTACCAGTGGGGAGGAGAACAGAGAAATGAAGCCAATTCATAGATGGGGATTATTAGGAGGCCATGATTGGTAAGGGCCAATGGGAAACTTTGGCCAGGACGCCAGGGTTACACCCCTACTCTTTTTGAGAAATGCCCAGGGTTTTTACTGACCACAGAGAGTCAGGACCTCAGTTTTCCATCTCATCCAAATTAATGCACCTTTTTACAGTACAGCGACCCCGTCACTATACTGGGGCATGAGAACCCACATAGACCACAGGGTGAGCACCCCATGCTGGCCCCACTAACACATCTTCCAGCAGCAACCTTAGTTTTTCCCAGGAGGTCTCCCATTCAGGTACTGACCAGGCTCACACCTGCTTAGCTTCAGTGGGTTGCCAGTTGTGAGCTGTAGGGTGATATGGCTGCTGGCGGAAGAGCATCAATTATCCCAGGTTCAGAACTAAGAACAGTTACAAACAAGGGGAACCTACTCAGCCATTCTAGCCCTTTTCATAATTGTTACAGTAGCTAACAGATCTAATATCATCACCTGATTTTGGAAAGATGCTGTGCTTTGACACCATGGCTGTATATAATACTTTAAGAAAGCTTCCTGTTGTCACATTCCAGTGCAACTCTCTGTATTTTCCACCTGTGTCTTCTGGCTTGTGCTGATGCTGAAAAATTCCATTAAGTTAACTTGAATAAACACCTTTGGGGATCCTAGAATCCAGGCTCCTGCAGATTCAGAGCTATCTGACTGCTTAGCTGTACATTTAAAAAGTCCTTGAGACAGATAAGCCCATCCAGAATCCTGACTTTCCAGCAGAACGATGGAAAACCACACAGTGCTAGGTTACAATGGAATGACTTTAAGAAACCACTGTCTACTTCTTGACATGGCCAGATTTGTCTGCTCTGAATACAATGGAATATGTGGGACTAAGGTGAATGCTATCGGTAGTAAATAAGAGCAACTGGCCATTTGTTAGCTGGTCAACTGCCCAAAGGATCAATGGCAGAACATCTCACAGCAGTCTGTCCAGAGGCTGATGAGGTCTTTGTGTCAGCACTGCAAGCTATGGTTTCATACGTAGGGATAAAACAGTGGGGCATATTATTACAGTAGGTTTTAGAAAAGATTAGTAGAAATCTTTCTGTTGCTTTGAAAACCTCTGGCAGTCTCCCTCACCGATTCTAGACATTAGGAGTCCATGTTGAGGTACGCCTCTCTGATAACCAGGATGTCCTGACTCTAAAACAAACTATGGGTCCATTTTGACCACCAAGCCATCATGGCTCCTTTCAATCTGGAACACCAGGGGTGTGACTTATCTGAGTTGAAGCCTGAAGTGGAGACCAGTTAGTCATCCAAAAGATGACCTATCAATGAGAAAACTGGACCTGGTGACATCACAACCCATCACTACTCACTTTAAGGTATTGTAATGCCAAGAACTTCATTCACTTTGTCTCTTTCTTGCTCCTCTTTTAATTCAAAAAGAAAAAGTTACGTGAATGCTATTGTCCAAGTCAAGAAAATTAACTTTAATTCAAGGGAAATTTTGTGAACAGCTAGCCAATCTGAATCATTCAACTGGAACAGAGACAGACCTTGAGCACGAACTGTTAGAAAGCTAAGCTCAGCGTGACATTAGGTGGATACTTTTTCCTAGAGGAGCAATGCTGAGCACAAAGCTAAGTAACACTATTTCCCTGCACCACAGGAAAGAGATTGAACATAGCTACATTGAACTGAGCCCAGTTTTGTCTATCAGTAGGATTTTAAAAACCTCTTTACAAGATACATTGACAAGCCTCACCAGATGAGTAAAAATTCCATGTTCACATTAGTAGTTTTAAGAATTTATTCCAAACACATTTGACAAAGTAACTTCACTATCTACTTGTCTTTGAAAACATGAATGATTTTAACTTAGGCTAACAAATGTTAGCATCAGTGTGTTTTATCCCTGATATTATTACTATTTTTGTAATCACTGAATGAACAATCAGCCATTTTTATCAAGGCTGACCAAGGCACTCTTGAAATGTACTGCTCTAGTTTCTAATTGGTCAAGAAAATTCATATAGGGTAAGTAAGAGCAGGTCATATCCCATTCTGTAAAAAAGTTTAATTTTTGACATTGACACATTTTGTTTTTATTTACATTTATCATGATTCCTTGTTTTTTGTCTAGATTCCTATAATTTATTTATTAAAATATCTGGTTATATCCATTAGACTTCGATATTGAGGTTCTTTTGTGCTTTTGTTGGGAGACAATTCTTCCCTGCTAAAATGGTGTTAGCGGAGTGTTCTTGCTAAGTGTGACCCTGCTATCATCTCTCTTCTTCCAGTGGTTTCCAGCAGGTAAGTTTCTGGAGGCAGCTCTGCTCGTGCAATGCAGTACTGACCAACTTGGAGAGCTCTGATGAATCAATTAGAAGAAATATAAAATAACAATCCTTTAAAACGTTTAGCTGATTCTTTCTAATCCCGAAATATAAAAATAGCCTTGCAGTTCCCCTTAAAGGGCTTCAGATGAAACCGTTCACCTAAAAAAGTTTTTCTGAATGTCACAACACTTGATCAACAACAATCTCAACACAACAATCCAATTAATGTTTTCTAGGAACCTGCACATCTGATGGGGTGGCTGATAAAACTTATCATTCGTGATTGCTAGCAACAGTTCATGGCCAAACTGTTTTCATGCATGATTTACACAGGAGAGCTGTAATGTTTTACATACTAAAAAGCAAACTATTTACAGTAGTACTCAGAAACATGGTAATATGATGATTAGTGCTACTACATCGAACTTCCTCAGTTCTGGTTTCAGTTCTGACAAGATGTCCTTCTGTGTGGAGTGTACATGTTCTACTTGGTACTGGTTCATTCCCATAGTGAAAACAACATGCTACATACTGTAGCTTCACTAAATGTCTGACCATGCAGGGTTACTCTACTATGCCCCCGATTGGATGGATTACTTTTAGTTCTGTTATCTAGCTCAGAGAAAAAAAGAGATTTAGACAGATGTAGAAAATAAAAACTAGAACACACTGTTATACACCAAAGCAGGACTCTTATTTTTTATTAGCAGAGACAGTATATGAGTTTTAATGTCTCTCAGTATATACTGGTCTGTGAAGGTCTTATTTATACTACATGTGTAATAACTCACTATATTTTTAATTGAGCATTTTATAGCTTTACACTTCTTGTATTATTAATTGACACGAATTGTACTGTAAATTAATTGAGCATTCTTATTTTGAAGTAATCCAAGACCAAGTTTCAGTTTGTTCAGAAGTCCAGTATTACCTTAATAAATGGGTGAAATTCCACCATGTTTTGAAAACCCTCAAAAACATCAAGTGGAAAGAATGCTCATGTTGTTGGTATTCTATTTTTATAGGAATTATCAAGTTCCTCCTTTAAGAAAAACAATTATACTGAAACATATTTATTCTTTTATTACGCAAGTCCTCATCTACAAAAAAAATACAGAAGAAAGCAAATAAATTAAGAGCTTCTAGTGTGCTCTAGACTATTCTAGTATGTTGTTGAGAAAATGCCTCAGAATTGTCCTTCAAAATACCTAAAAACAATGATAAAGGAAAAGTTAAGACTTTAACACAGAGAAACAAATATACAAATAATATTGCTATTTAACAGAATGTAAAGTAATGCCCTTGGTTTACTACGGTAATTCACTAAGACTCTGCTCCCTAGGTTTCCTTCTGCTGAACAGTTTCCTCCATAAGGCTGTGAAGCAACCCCTCCCACACCATCTCTCCTGATCTTCTTCAGGGGGAGGGGGCAGAGGAGGGCAAGGTGCTGATGACAGGGGCAGGCCAGGCTCTGGGTCTGCATTAGTGAGGGGGGAGAGGCAGGGATTTCAGGGGGAGCTGGGATATCAGAGATCAGCGGAGGAAGGGGATCTAGCGATGGTGATGGGCTGGGCTCAGGAGCTGCCTCAATGAGGAGCGAAGAGGAAGGAATTTGTCAAGGAGCAGAGACATCAAAGAGGAAATCAAGAGGAGACAGAGATGGGTTGAGCTCTGGAATAAGTTCAGTGAGGAGGAAAGAGGGAGGAGTTTCACAGAGAACCACAGAATGAAAGTGTGGGGGAGGCAGATGGGGTGTCCAGGTGGTGAGCTGGGAGCTGGACGCTGAGGG